CCAACACCCCGACCCCTGTCTCTGGGCTCATGTCTGCCACCCAGTCACAAACTGTCCTTAGTGAAGGGGCTCTAACAGGCCCAAGCATGGCAAACACTGCAGACAGGTTTTGCCCTTTCACCCCTTTTCCTCTCCCTTGCTGTAAACCGTTACATTCCAAAAGCTAGCCTCCAAGGTCTGTTCCCTTATTTGGCCATTGACTCATTCCTGAGACAAAACACGCAAGTCCAACAATCCACACTCATTATTTGGATAACATGTCCAATCAGGATTTACCAACTCACCCTGGCACAGACCTCTTCCTGCACAAACCTCACTCCTGCAAAAATACCTTCGCTTGCTTTTCTTGCTTACACTTGCTGCTGCTGCTGCTGCTGCCGCCGCCGCCCGGCCGCCGCCTTTGCAGCGCCATCCCTTGCCCCTCTAGGGCAATAAATCTCCTTTATACTGAGAATTTGGTGGCAGGGTGTGTCCCGTACCCATTCTGGGGAGCTGACTTCCCTTTCCCTGAGGCAGTCACAGCTCAGACTCTGAGGCACCGTGAGGCCTGCAGCTCTGTGGGTTGTGGAGAGCTGAGGCGGTCTCTAAGTGGGTCGGAGGGCTCTTGCTGGTCCCACTCAGATGCCGGAAGTCCGCCCTCGCCCTCCATAGCTGGAAGCCTAAGCGGCACCGCTCCACGTTAACCAGCCCTGAAACACTCATCCTTCCAGAGCGAGGACCCTCCTGCCTCCCCATGTCTTTGCTGGCACAGCACTTGCTTGCCCTGCCCACCTTGTTCTGGCTCTTACTCCGTAATTCCTGACCTGGACAATCTCTCTCCTTGCTTGGGAAGCCCAGAACAGTTCACTCCCGTGCTCCTCTCCCCCATACAGTTACAACTCAGGGTCTGCCACAGGCCAGTCACTGTGTCAGCACCCCAGGCCTTTCTCTCAGACACGGGATGAGCTGAGGTGGCTTCTGTCTGAGGAGGTAGCGGAGCCAGGCACCAGATGGAGAGAGCGCTGGAAACACCATTTCTCTCCCTTTCTCCCACCCAGAGCAAGGTTTCCTGCCAAAACTGGGTGAAATCTACCAGAAGGTTGAACTGATTAAGACTGTGTCTCCCTTCATCATTTTCTCATTCCTCAGAGAATCTGGGAAATTGGTTAGCGTTCTAAACAGTTCTGCCGCATCATCTGTAAAATGGGGCAAAAGAAATGTCTGTTGAGGACTGAGTGACTTCAAATAGAAGGCGGAGCTTTGTGTTTCAAACTAGGGCGTTTAACAGCAGCGGTGGGCTCCTAAGCAGCGCTGCTCTGTTACTGTAGAAACTTGTCAGCTGTTTTCCCCTGAATGTTCTCCCCTCTCCTGGCACCTCTGTCACATAGTGTCCTGTGCTTTTCTGAGTCTTGGTTCATTTTCTCCTCTCTCTCTCTCCCCCACCCCGTGTGTGTGTGTGTGTGTGTGTGTGTGTGTGTGTGTGTGTTTCTGCTGGCATAATTCACAGCAGCCGATCTTCAAAACTGATTACCTTCCTCATGCTGGTTCAAAACTATAACTGAAATAACACCCCATCTGTGGAACCTCAGTTTTGCTGTTAGACATCTTGAAATCCTAGAGTTTCCACGGGTTCTTATTTCTACATTCTTTTATTCACATTTCCTGTTTGTTGTGGCATTGTTATTAGGTTTTTACTTTTTTGATTATACTTTTGTTTTATGAAAAAAATAGAGAGAATGTGTACATGTGTGTGTTGCTCAGGAGAGAACCCCTGGTTCAAACATCCTAGACCACCCCTGTACATATCTTTCCTGGCTACTCTGAGGTTTAAGTTTTGGTTTTGAGGGGAGAGGGTTGTTTGTTTTTTCGGCGAAGTCTGATATTTGTTCTCACAAGCTGTTTCTGATGTTTGGGGCTTTGTTTTTGTTTTGTTTTGCCTGTGTACCATACATTTCTGTTTTTTGTTTGGTTTTGGCTTTCATTTTGTCTGCTTGTTTATTTATTTGTTTGTTGTTTGAGGCAGGGTCTCACTGTGTAACTTCAGCTGCCCTGCAACTTGCTATGTAGACCAAGCTGGCCTTACATATACTCTCCATCTCCTGAGTGCAGGAATCATAGACATGGGTCACCACGCTGGCTTTGTTCTGTTGTTTGGTTGGTTAGTTGGTTGGTTGGTTGGTTGGCTGGCTGGTTGGTTGGTTGGCTGGTTGGTTGGTTGGTTGGCTGGCTGGCTGGCTGGTTGGTTTGACTGTCACTATTGATAGTTTGGGGGCAGTTTCAGGACAGAGGTGCTTTGATCTGCTTGGTTTGATTTTTTTGAGAAATGTTGCTATGTAGCTCTGGTTGGCCTTGAACTTGCTATGTCAGCCAGGCAGGCCTCAAACTGCAATGATCCTATTCCCTCTACCTTCTCAGTGCCAGGCCTGCAGGCATATTGGTTTGTTTTGCCAGGCTGGAGAACAGACCCAGAATGTCCCACCACTGATTCGCACCCCAGCCCCTTGCCTGCTACTTTTTCCAGCTCATAATTTCTGTTGGAATCTGAACATTTTAGATAACTTATTGTAGCAGTTTGAGGTCCAGTCTCCTCTTCTGGGGCTTGCTATGTTACTTACTTATTTGCTGGTTTAATGCCCAAAGTTGCCATGAACTGACATTCGTGATGCCCAGAAGGGCTTTGCTTTCCATCCCCGACCACACTCGTAATCCAACTCCACTCATTACAACCGACAATTGTTTTGACAATCCTCTGAGATTCTGCAGAACAAACCAATACAATCAAATCTAAACCCTTGGAAGGGACACTAGTTGCCATGGACAGCCTTGCCCTGGCTGTGGCGGAGTCGTGGGGTCTCCTCCGAACCCTAGCTCCCTTCAGTCTGGACTGTGTCGTCATTAATCCAGGAATCTCCCCACAGCTGCCTTTCACCACAAGCATCTCTGTTCTTGGCATTTGGGCTTCAGGGTCTCCATAACGTATTGCAAATGAAGCCAGTTCCTTTAGGAAAAAAATAAGAACTATATATTTTTGGTCTATTTTTAGAAAAAAAAATCCAGATAAAACACTAGAACTGGGTATGAAAGAAGCAGTTTTCCCTCTTGGTGACCCTCCCCCGAGGAGAGAGCATTGTGGGTACCAGAACAGCCACCTTGGCTCCATCAGCCTCCCTTCCTCCCACAAAACCCAGAGCTCCAGCGCAGCCAGGGGTGATCAGACCCGTTAGTCCCTGACCCTCCACATCAACAGAGGACAGAGCAGAGGGCGGCTGCCTCTCTCCTGCAGCACAGGGCTGAGGCTTAGCTCCGGTAGGAGGTAACTAAGGAGGGGAGGGGAGGAAAGAAACACAGAGAGAGAGAGAGAGAGAGAGAGAGAGAGAGAGAGAAGCCATGGAGAGGAAACTGTGTAGCCCAGGTTGCTGGAACTAGAGGGAACTCTTCCAGGCTGGGGCGGTAGAGGGAGTCAGTCCTAACGCGCACCCCCTCATCTTCTTCCTCGTTCCTCATCTACTCGGACAGCTGCTTAGGATCATTCCCAGGGTCTCTCCACCTCTCACTTACACTTTTAACCATTTCCCTGAGGAGCGTGTTCATGGACTCTCCCCATCATCACGTCGGGAGTCAATTGCACACCTATTTTCAACGTTAATGATCCTTCTGTTCACAAACAGGCCTGTTTGCGGACAGTGGCGCTGGCCCTGCGGCAGATGCACCGCATCCCCGCCACTGCTATCATCCGTTTGTTGTTTAACTTTTCTTTTTTCCATAAAGACTAATGCATTGAAGGGACATTCACCAAATTACTTAGAATATTTTGCTTTAAAGAATTGAGTCTGTTCAAATGAGTAGTTTAATCTGTCTCTTTGTTCCAAGGAAAAGATCAGTATTTGCTATGAATTCGGTATGTCAGGCAGATTAGACTTACAAAAATTAAGTGCTAATTAGATGACATTACAGTTATAATATGAATTATACACAATAAAGGAAAGAGGCTTGAGGTACATCTCAGGGTAGAATATTTGTCTAGCATACATGAGGCTCAAACTCCAGGACTCCAAAATAAATAAATGAAAGAAAGAATGAATGAAAGAGATTTGTCCTAAAATGAGAAAAAAAAAAAAACAAACATAACTTTTGCAGGGGAAAGATACCGTATATCAGCAAAATCAATGAGGGAGAAATACTGCCTGATGGAAATAATAATTTTTAAGAAAAGGCAGGTGTAGTGGTACATACCTTTAATCCCAGCACTTGAGAGGCAGAGGCAGAAGTATCTCTGTGAGTTCAAGACCCAGGCCGGCCACAGTTGCTTAGTGAGACCCTGTCTCAAAAAAAAAAAAAAAAAGAAAGAAAGAAAGAAGAAAAAAGAAAGGAAGGAAAGAAGGGAGAAAGGAAAAACTTAAGGAGGTATAAAAATTAAGTTACTTGATATTTTTAAGAATTGACAGTAAGTTATAATAATAGCTTAGAGTGTTTCCACATCACATTAAGCAAATAAGGATAACTGGGCAAAGCAATGAAAATATAAGCACTTGATGTTCCAAAAGCCATATTTGCTTGGGGAAATTTCGGGATGATTTTCCTTCTCAATACACTTTTATGCAGTGTGTGTGTGTGTGTGTGTGTGTGTGTGTGTGTGTGTGTGCGCGCGCGCGCCTGTGTATGTGTCTGTGTGTGCAAGAGTGTATATATGCGTGTGTGTGTGCGCGTGTATGCTGGGGGTGTTGCTCAGGAGTGAAGCATTTGCTTGGCACACACAAAGCACCGGATGCAATCTGTGTGAGAGGTTCTGTTTAGGTCCGAGGCATTTTTTGGGATACTATGTTGCTTGAGCTGGCTTCAGCCTTCGGGGCTTAAGCAATTGTCCTCAGCCTTTGAGTAGCCAAGACTCAGGTGCCGCCACATCTAGCCCTGAGACGCTTTCAGTGTAAGAAAGCAGTTGGCTTCGTTTGTGCTCGTTCTGCACCTCATTAAGAGCACTTGGTAAGCAAATTGTTGGTGCTCAAATTGCAGAAAACTGGGAAATGGATGGAGGCAACCAGAGCAAAGACTCTGAGTTCCTCCTTCTGGGGCTCTCAGAGGTTCCTGAGCATCAGCACGTCCTGTTTGGGACCTTCCTGTCCATGTACCTGGTCACAGTGGTGGGAAATGTGCTCATCATCCTGGCCATCGGCTCTGACTTGCAGCTGCACACGCCCATGTACTTCTTCCTGGCCAACCTCTCCTTCACTGACCTCTGCTTTGTCACCAACACGATCCCCAAGATGCTGGTGAACCTTCAGTCCCAGAACAAGGCCATTTCCTACACAGGATGTCTGACCCAGCTCTTCTTCCTGGTGTCTTTGGTAGCCTTGGACAACCTCATCCTGGCTGTCATGGCATACGACCGTTATGTGGCCATCTGTCGGCCCCTCCATTACACCACAGCCATGAGCCCTAAACTCTGCATCTTGCTCCTCATCTTGTGCTTGACCCTCTCTGTCCTCTATGGCCTCACCCACACACTCCTCATGACCAGAGTAACCTTCTGTGGGTCTCGGAAGATCCACTACATCTTCTGTGAAATGTACGTCCTGCTGAGGCTGGCGTGCTCCGATGCGCACATTAATCACATGGTGTTAATCACCACAGGCTGCGTCATCTTCCTTGCTCCCTTCGGATTCATGGTCACATCCTACATCTGCATCGTCAGAGCCATCCTCAGAATTCCCTCAGCCTCCAGCAAGTACAAAGCCTTTTCTACCTGTGGCTCCCACTTGGCTGTGGTGGCCCTCTTCTACGGGACCCTCTGCATGGTCTACCTGAAGCCCCTGCACACCTACTCCATGAAAGACTCAGTAGCCACAGTGATGTACGCAGTGGTGACTCCAATGATGAACCCTTTCATCTACAGCCTGAGGAACAAGGACATGCACGGGGCTCTGGGAAGGCTTCTAAGGAAGCCGCTCCTGAGACTGACATGAGGGCTGTTTGGGGAAGGGGGAAACGAAGCACAGCGCATGCACGTATCCTTCAATGTGTGCGAAGCCTCCTGTTAGGCAGGACTGTTCGGACACAGATCTGGCTCTGAATGAATTTACGTGGACATGTAAGTAATCCCGGCATCCTCTGGATCTCATCACCTTTGGTAAGAACTAAGGTCACACTATGCCAATACTAGAGTATTGCAGGATTGAATTTTGCAATGTGCCTGACCACAGAACCATATCCTCAGGCTCTTCCAGATATGCCCAGTAATGACAGAGACACCACATGTGTTATCTCATATAGAGCAAACACACAAAAAGCAAATAGTAACTGATTAGAAGCTTGGCCACTGGGCTGTGGTGGCTTGGAAGAAATCCTTTAGAGATGAATCAGCTGAGCCAGCAGGGCTCAAGACTGTAGAAAGCAGAGTTCAGCTGGCGTGGTGATCATTCTGCTATTCTGTTGAGACTGGATGAGTGTCTGTTAAAACCTTCAAATTGGGTTGCAGGCATGAACATGGAGTTTATAGCCAATTGTGAGAAATAGGTAAAAACTGCCTGTAAATGAACCTGACTCATCAGTTAAAATGCAATGTCTACCATGCTGATGTAAATATGTGTGTCTGTCTGTTTAAAATACAAATGCTGGAGAGATGGGTTAGCAATTAAAAGCACTTCCTGCTCTTCCAGAGAGCCTGGGTTCAGTTCCCACATGAAAGCTCCAGTTTCAAGGAATCCAATACCCTCTTCTGGCCTTTGTAGGAACCAGGCACACATATACTTGTAGGCAAAACATTCATACACATAAAATTAAAATGAATCAATCATTCAAAAATAAAATGGCTGAGGGTGAATGTCAAGGTTGAACATATATGAGGCTATGGTTCAGAGAGAAAGGAGATGAAGGGAGAGAAGACTAAAAGAATCAAATACACAACAAACTTGGAGATAAAGGGTTACAAATGGGTACAGGTTTGGAAAATACACAGTATTTTAATTAAAATGTTGCCATAATAACATCTGATAAGAGGCTTTAAAACAGAGAAGTCTGACGTCAGCAAGGTCATAGAATGAAAGGTTCCATCCCTCTGGCCTGTGTTATCAGCCAACCACGGAGGAAAATGGTGTCCCCAGTGCTCTGGGTCCAGCCTGAGACTGCCGCAGCCTGCCACACCATAGACGTGGGGAACAGGGTAAGTTTGAAAACTGGGAGAGAAATTGTCTCTTTACACCTTCACTGCCCTCCACCCAAGCCAGCACAGTACAGAAAGCCATCCCCTCAACCTATAAGTTCTTCCATGAGGCAGAAAACCAAACCATTTGTTCAGCAGACTCCATCTTCCAGGTATGCTATCCAAGAGGACCAATCAATTAGGCCTCAATAGACGTGACTAACAGAAGCGACACAGCCAGAGCTCTGCTGAAGCAAAGAACATGTCCAGCAATCAGTGTGGGAAGGAGAGAAAGAGGCCTCTCTCAAGCCCAGGCTGGCCTCAAACTCTTTATCCTCCGCCCCAGCCTCCTGAGGAACTGGGGTGACAGGCATGCACCATCACACCCTCCTCTGGTAACGGAGTTTTGGTGGCTGAGCCTCAGGACCCAGTTGCGGGCACCCCACCGTCCTTGGCCTGTGCAGTGGCTCACTCAGAATCTCTAGCTGGGCTGAGTGATGAAGGACAACTTTTCCTGTCAGTGTCAGTCTGTGCAGACAGAGAGAAAGGCGTGCTTCTCTGTACTGCAGTCAGCAGTGTGAGGACGTAAGGACTGCACACGGAAACATGGCAACACAGACAGAACGAAATGAAGTAACCATCTTTACGCTTGTTTAGCGCTTCAGTGTTAAGACTTGGCCCCATACAGCAGTGCTGAGAGCCTCGGGGAGCTGGTCGGGTCGTGAGGACCCTGCCCTCATGAATGGATTCACCCGTTCATAGAGGTATCCTTAATGGATATATGGGTTGAGGACTTTATTACAAATTCTGCCCCCGTGCTTTGAAGCCACTTAGAGCTGAGCCGTTTTCTCCCAGTTTCTACCTAAGCAGCTGGGCCAAATGACCAGGGGCTGAAACTAGATTAGACAAGCACCAGGTTAGCTCAGAAACCCGGGACACCTCCTGGCTTGGGCTCTGCACGCACACCTGCAGGAGCACATAGCAACCTGTTAGCAGTGTAGAAGCCACCTGCTGTAAGGGGGGGACACTCACCCCCTAACAGTGGGCATTCGAACTCATCCTAGAACTGTCCAAGAACCCAGAGCCATGAGCTGATCTGCCCTAAACTGGTTTGGGGTGTGGGCACAATAAGGCAAACTGTGTCCTCAAAGTGGATTTTTCAAGAGAACCCTCTAGTTCCCATCATATGTCCACACGTAACTGATTAAAAAAACAGAAATGCCACAGGAAACAGCAGCAGGAGCCAAGGCCGACAGGGCCTGAGTATGGCAGGCTAAGGACAAGCGGGGATATTTGGGAGGGAGAAAAGAGAGGGGGAATAGTGTGATTATATTATCTCAAAAGAAGAAAAGAAAGGGTTTTTAAAACACTTTCTCTCAGCAACTAAATTTCTCCTTCTCTTAAACTCTATAAAAGGAAGCCCCAGAAAATAACCGAGGCCCTTGAAACCCTCACACAGGTGGCCTGCTGTGACCTTGATGGTGTAACTGATCACCATTCTATCATTTTGATTTGAGTAAAGCTTCCTTGCTGCTTTTGTCAATCTGCGTTAGCACTTTAAATAAGGAGCCAAGAACCTGAAAACACCTGGCCCAGACTGCAACTTCCAGGACCAAACCCTCTGAAACCATGAGGAGCCAATATAAGTATGTTCTTCCTGTGAGTTTTCATTGCATGTACTTTGTCGCGCTGACACAGAGTTGACGAATGTCCTCTCCCTGAGGAGGGGGGAGAACAGTCATCTTTAAGAGGCTCAAGGCCTACACGAGGGCACAGATAAACAACTAAACAAAAACGAAAAAAACAGAGGAATAAAATGTGAAGTTCAACAAACAGAAGCCATAATAAAAGAACAGTAATTTTATAGTTGCGTCACACCGTAACTGAAATTAAACAAATCAATAGAGCTTCAAGAGCAGACCTAATACTTTTACACAATGGAATTCTACTCAGCAATTAAAAACAAGGAAATCATAAAATTTGCAGGTTGCATCTAGAAAAGATCATCCTGAGTGAGGTATCCCAGGAGCAGAAAGACACACACAGTATATACTCACTTATAAGTGGGTACTAGACCTATAAAATAGGATAAACATACTAAAATCTGTACACATAAAGAAGATAAACAAGAAAGAGGACCCAGGGTAAGATGATATATCCTCACTTAGAAAGACAAATGGGATGGACATTGGAAGTAGGAGAAAACAAGTAACAGGACAGGAGCCTACTGCAGACGGCCTCTGAAAGACTCTACCTAGCAGTGTATCAAAGCAGATGCTGAGACTCATAACTAAACCTTCCGCAGAGTGCAGGGAATCATGTGAAAGAAGGGGGAGTTGGTACGACCTGGAGAGGACAGGAGCTCCACAAGGACCAAATATATCAGGGCACAGGGGTCTTTTATGAGACTGTTTCTCCAACCAAGGACCACGTATGGATACAACCTAGAACCCCTGCTCGGATGTAGCCCATGGCAGCTCAGTATCCAAGTGGGTTCTCTAGTAAGGGGAACAAGGACTATTTCTGACATGAATTCAGTGGCTGGCTCTTTGACCTCTCCCCCACCCCCGAGGGAGGAACAGTCTTGCTAGGCCACAGGGGAGAACATGGCAGCCAGTCCTGAAGATACCTGATAAGCTAGGGTCAGATGGAAGGGGAGAAGGACCTCCCCCATCAGTTTACTTGGAAAGGGGCAGGGAGGAGATGACTGAGAGAAAGACGGAGGGGGTTACAGCTGGGATACAAAGTAAATAACCTGTGATTAATGTAAAAAAAATAATAAAAATAAAAAAGCAGACCTAATCAAAAATAATAAAGAATCATGTATGTAAAAGTGGGTCATTTGGAATTACCCTGTTAGATGAACAAATATAAAAGAATGAAAGGAAATGAAGGATATCAGTGGAACTTGGGGGCATCACTGAAGTAAGCCTATACTTACTTTACTGGATTTCTATAAGAAAAGAATACAGAGGGATGTAGCTCAGTTGGTAGAGTGGTCACCTATCATGCTTGAAGCCCCAAGTTCAAACCTCAGCACTGCATAAAACAAGGAGAATGGCACATGCCTGGAATCCTGCTAGCACTTAAGAGATGGAGGCAGGAAGATCATAACTTTGAGGCTAGCCTACGATATACAGGACTTTAGAGAGAGGAAGACAGAAGAAGGAAGACAGGGGAGACTGAGAAGGGGTAGAAGTCGGGAGAACAGGGAGAGAGAAAAGAAAGTAGCTTTTTGGTTTAATTTTGTTTTGTTTAAGTTTCTTTACCTCCCAAGGGTGCTCCTTCCCTCCTCTACCCCAGCACCCCCTCCCCCTCCTTTCTTCTTACCCTTTCTCTTTTCTCCCAGATGTCCACTCTCTGTCCAACCTTCCCCAGCTCATCAAGTCACATCAGGACTGAGGTTGTCCACTGAGGCCAGGCAAGGCAGCCCTGCCAGGGGGAAACCATCCAAAAGCAGGCCACAGAGTCCATGTCAGAAACAGCCACTCCCACACACACACTTGCCAGATGACCCACATGAAGAGCAAGCCACACATCAGCCACATCTGTGCAGGGGCCTAGGTCCAGACCATGCATGGTCCTTAGGTGATGTCTCAGTCTCTGTAAGCCCCCTGGCGGTCTGGGTTAGTTGTTTCTCTTGGTCTTCTTGTGGGTTCCTGTCCCCTCCAGGTCCTTCCATCTTCTCCTCAACACTTCCACAAGACCCTCAGAGCTCTGCCCCATGCTTGGCTGCAAGTCCCAGCATCTACGTCAATCCATTGCTGGGAGGAGCTTCCCAGAGGACAGCCATGTTAGGTTCCTGTTTGCAAGCATAGCAGAGCA